TGGCAGGTGGTCCCCCTCCTGACCAGCTGCAGGTGACCCCCCTCCTTGCACTTGGTTGAGGGCAAGTTCCCTACTGCTGGTTACAGTGGACGGGAAGTGTCCATGCACCCATATCTGCTAGCCAAAGGGGCTTACTCCCCCTCCTCCCTCCACTCCCGACTGGAACCGTTGGAGGGTCCCATGCCTTGGCCACCCCGCCTGATCGGAGACTATAATACAAGCACCCTGTACCTGCCACAAGCCCTATCTTCCCAAAGAGCAGCAGTAAGCATATTTCCATGCACTCAACCTGCCCGCCACTCACCCTCCTCAATGGTGAGTGATGGTGACCACGTGAAAGTGATCTACAAATATAATGCAATTCCAATACAAATTCCAACAACATTCTTCAGTGAGATGGAAAAACTAATTGCCACCTTTATATGGAAAGGAAAGGGGGCCCAGATAAGCAAAGCATTATTGAAGTAGAAGAACAAAGTAGGAGGCCTTACACTCCTTGATCTCAGAATCTACTACACAGTCATGGCAGTCAGAACAGCCTGATACTGGTACAATGTCAGACACATAGACTAATGGAACAGAATTGAGAACCTAGAGGTAAATCCATCCACCTATGGATAGCTGATCTTTAACAAAGGGTCAAAGTTCACCAAATGCGGGAAGAGAAAGTCTCTTCAACAAACAGTGCTGGCAAAACTGGATATCCATTTGCAGAAAAATGAAACAAGATCCATAACTCACACTATACACAGAAACTAACTAAAATGGATCAAAGACATAAATGTAAATCCTAATACTATAAAGATCATGGAATGAAAAATAGGGACAACACTAGGGACCTTAACATATGGCATAAATAGAATACCAAAGATAACTAAAAATGCACAAAGAGCAGAAGATAAACTAGATAACTGCGATCTTCTAAAAATTAAACATTTATACTCATCAAAAGACTTCACCAAAAGAGTATAAGTAAAACACTTATACTCACAAAAAGACTTCACCAGACTGGAAAAAACTTTTTTGCTATAACACTTCTGACAAGGGTCTAATCTCTAAAATTTATAGAAAATCTCAACACCTCAACAAGAAAAAGACAAGAAACTCAATTAAAAACTGGTCGAAGGACTTCACAAAAGAAGACATCCAGGTGGCTGAAAAACACACGAAGAGATGCTCACAGTCATTAGCCGTTAGAGAGATGCAAATCAAAACTAAAATGAGATACCATCTCACCCCGGCAATAATGGCAGTAATCAAAAAAAGAAAACAACAACTGCTGGTGAAGTTGTGGGGGACTGGAATGCTTATACACTGCTGGTGGAAATATAAAATGGCACAACCAGTATAGAAAACAATATGGCGCTTCCTTAAAAAGTCAGAAACACCGTATGATCCAGCAATGTCACTCCTAGGTATAGATCCTAGAGAAAAAACAGTGGTGACCAGAATAGACATATGCACACCCATATTCATTGCAGCATTATTCACAATAGCAAAGAGATGGAAACAACCTAAGTGCCCATTACCAGAAGAATGGATAAACAAAATGTAGTAAATACACACAAAGGAATACTACGCAACGATAAGAATAATGATGAATCTGTGAAACATCTCACAACATGGATGAATTTGGAGGACATTATGCTTAGTCAAATAAGTCAACTACAAAAGGACAAATACTGTATGAGGCCACTATTATAAATAGCCAACAAAAGGTTTACACACAGAAAGAAACATTTTTTTTGATGTTTACCAGGGGTGGGAGGGGGAGGAAGGGAATTAGAGAGCAGGTAAGAGTTAACTCTGGCAAAGGGAAAGGCAGTACACGATATGGAGGAAGTCAGCACAACATGAAAACAGCAAGGGAAGACACTGAGAGGTACACAAGAATAAAAGGCAATCATGGTAAATACTATAACATATACAATCCTGCAACAACAGTAACAAAAAATAAAAATTCATGAGTGGATACATAGGTAGATATGGATTACACCTTAACATAGAGAAAACAAAAATTCTCACAACCGGACCAATAAGCAACATCATGATAAATGGAGAAAAGATGGAAGTTGTCAAGGATTTCATGTTACTTGGATCCACAATCAATGCCCATGGAAGTAGCAGTCAAGAAATCAAATGACACAAAAGACCTCTTTAAAGTGTTAAAAAGCAAAGATGTCACTTTAAGGACTAAGGTGTGCCTGACCCAAGCCATGGTGTTTTCAATCACCTCATATGCATGCAAAAGCTGGACAATGAATAAGGAAGACCGAAGAAGAACTGATGCCTTTGAATTACGGTGTTGGTGAAAAAGATTCAATATACCATGGACTGCCAGAAGAATGAACAAATCTGTTTTGGAAAAAGTACAGCCAGAATGCTCCTTAGAAGCAAGGATGGAGAGACTTCGCCTCACATACTTTGGACATGTTATCAAGAGGGACCAGTCCCTGGAGAAGAACATCATGCTTGGTAAAGTAGAGGGTCAGCAAAGAAAAAGAAGACCCTCAGCAAGATGGACTGACACAGTGGCTGCAACAATGGGTTCAAGCATAGCAACTATTGTGAAGATGGCGTAGGACCAGCAGTGTTCCGACATAGGGTCACTATGAGTCGGAACCAACTTGATGGCACCTAACAACAATACATATGTAGATATGTATGCTGAACAGGTAGGGGAAAGCATATGGGAGTACACACACATGCATATATAGGTTTGGCTGTGGATATTTCTACATACATATTTGTATGTGTTGCATGTATATTCATATATATAATGGAGCACACAGAGGGCACAGTCATGAAAAATCCTAGACATAACCAAACACCTTGTGGGACTGAGTTACTGGGCTTGAAGGCTAAGGACCATAGTCTTGGGGTACATCTTGGTCAACTGGCATAACAAAGTACACAAAGAGAATGTTCTACACCCGACTTTGGTGAGTAGTGTCTAGGGTCTTAAATGCTAGCTTGTAGCCATCTAAGATACAACTATTGGTCACTTTCTACCTGGAGCAAAGGAGAGTGAAGAAAACCAAAGACTCAATGGAACAATTTGTCCAAAGGACTAACGGACCACAGGAGCTACAGCCTCCACTAGCCTGAGACCAGAAGAACTAGATGGTGCCTGACTACCACTACCAACCACTCTGACCAGGATTCACAATACAAGGTGCTAGTTAGAGTGGAAAAAAAAAGTAGAACAAAATTCAAATGCATAAAAAAGGCCAGATTTACTGGTCTGAGAAAGACTGGAGGAACCCCTCGAGACTATGGCCCTTAGAAACTCTTCTAACTTGGAAATGAAGCCATTCCTGGAGATCACCATTCAATCAAATAATAGACAGGCCTATAAAATAAACAAAAACACACATGACGAAAGTGCTCCTTAGAACAATCACCTACACGAGACTAGAAGAGCAACAACTACCCAAAAGCAGAGATGAGAAGGCAGAAAGGGGAAGGAAAAGCTGATGAATGGAAATGGGGAACTCGGGGTGGTAACGGGGAGACTGCTGACACATTGTGGGGACTGTAACCAATGTCAGGGAACAATCCGTGTATAAATGATTGAATGCGAAAGTAGTCTGCTCTGTAAACCTTCACCTGAAGTACAATTAAAAAAAAAAAAAATCATTCAGATTGATAAAAGAAGGGTTGTGTATGGTGGCAGGAAGATGTCCATACACAGATAATATTTAATTTCTGACCTACATCAGTTATTTGTTTAGCTGTAAAATTATATAATCTAAGTAGTTTTCCTTCATGAAAATGCTTCCTTAAATGCACCAATGAATTAAACTGACTGAAATGATTAAGCTGAGGCTGCTGCTCCAGTTCAGGATACAGCTCTACATGTGTACATTGTTTTCTCTACAAGCCGTTCTTTCTTATTAGAAGTTCACTGTCCATAAAGGTATTTTTATGAGTAGGTCCGCTAGGACTACATTGTTGCCTTAACCTTAGCACCAAAATTTCACAGAAAGGCAAGGAAAACATCTTGGTTTGTGAGTTTCCATGGGGTACTATTTACCCCATGCTTTATCCACTGGGACGTGTTGATAGGACTGAGTTTCTGTCAACATTTAAAGAGAATTTTATACTGTGTTAACTGCACACATTACAACTTTAACATTACTTCTTACATTGAGCTACAATTAACGTGTCTTTTTTTATATTTTTGTATCAGAAATAAGCATCCCGCTGGGTGCTATCTCTAACACTTGTGTCAAAGCTGTGTAAACTATCAATTTTACACAGGACAGTGAAACTATTGGTGGAAGAACCATGTCTTCCCCAACTTAATCAATGCTCAGATTAATTTTTCTGACAAGTGGCACAGTGGTGAGAGCTACGGCTGCTAACCAAAAGGTCGGCGGTTCAAATCCCCCAGCCACTCCTTGGAAACTCTATGGGGCAGTTCTACTCTGCCCTATAGGGTTGCTATGAGTCGGAATCAATGGGTTTGATATTTTTTTAAACAATGTAAACAGCTATGTTGAAAATTTTTATTTCAATTCAAATACCATAAGCAGAAAATCTAAACACTTAGTCGCAATGGAGGAGTTTATGTATATTTTAGAAATTTGTATTTTTGGCTGTAACAAAGTAAATAAATATCAATGACCAGTTAAAATACTTGGTTTAACTGTCACTAACCTGCCAAAGACTTGGGCAGACACATGAAAGCTGCCTTGAGTCAGCAAACATTTATGCTCAATTGTATGAAAACGGTGTAACTATGTCTTAAACAAAATCAGAGTTTATTGGCTGCCAGTAAACCAGGATGAGTAAAATTACTACAATGCAGTTATGTGGATTATGTAATCAAAAGCTATAAACAGCACAAGACATTGACAGGCACAGATCAGCACTGCGAAACACACACACACACACAGGCACTTACACATACACACACAGATGCATGAATGCACACACACGCACACACCTGCTACTTCTGGAGGACAGGAGGGGAAGAAAAGAGAAGCCAAACTCACATCGCACTGAAATGGCTTTTCTCCGGTGTGTGTCCTCTTGTGCTCATCCAGACCTCGCTTCTGGCTGAAGGCCTTGTTGCACTCGGAGCACTTGTATGGTTTCTCCTGCAGCGAATCGAAAGAGACCATCGTGAGTGTGAATCAACTCAGAACCCTCTCATTAAGGTGTGTGTGCGGGGAGTACATCTAGGTGATAGAAACAGGGTGCAGGGTGCCATGGCAAACCCACAGGAGCGCCAAGAGATATTCTGCACTTTCAGTGAAAACACTGGACACTGTGCAAACTAGAAGCTCAAGGGAGTTCACAATTTCAGCATTAAATTCTTTTTTCTCTCAATCTCCTACCTTTGCAAAGCCAGATTTTTGGTGGTGGCTGCGTTCTAACCACTAAATAAATTGAACTCTTAGGTATTTCTTTTGGCCTATGGGCTCTACAAAATTTTACTGAGCTACTAAGGGCACCATGAACCAAGAAAGTTTAGGCACTTCTGATCTAGATGGTGCAAATTGTTTGCTGTCTCAGAGGGAATCCTGGGAATGAAAACTTTGAAACTAAATTTCCAAATGATTTTGGGGGGAAGTCTAAAAAGCTAGAGCTCACCCGCAATTTAAGTATTTTCATTTTTACTGCCCTATCTTTTTTTCTCTGCAGGATGTTCTTTTATAAAATCTAAATTCCATTTTAAAATGAGGTTTTTTTTTGTTAGTCACAGACTCTTACGGACAAAAATATCTCAAAAGTAAAAGAAAAAGATGTTCAAGTTCCTTAGCAATTTTTGACAGTGGCAATTTATTCATATCATGATGTTTTTAGCTTGAATTGAATGGTGAAATAAATTAATTAACATTACTCCATTAAAAGAACTGATCAGTTACTAATTAGTGCACCCACTAAAAGATATACTTAGAGTGACAATAACTTGCAATGAGGTTTTTTCTTTTCTTCGAATATATCTTCAGTTTTAAACATTTTTTTGGATTGAGATTAAAGAAAAACAAAAATTGCCATGGAGTCGATTCTGACTCACGGTGATCTCGTGTGTCAGAGAACTGTGCTTCATAGCATTTTCGATGGCTGATTTTTTTGGAAATAGATTGTCATGCCTTTCTTCAAAGGTGCCTCTGGGTGAACTCGAACCTCCAACCTTATGGTTAGGAGACAAGCTTGTTAACTACCAGCTGGATTGAGGTAGTTGTATGTATATGTGTATGTTTTTAATTTCATGTTCTGTTAACAAGTTCTTGCATTTATAATTTCTTCTTAACATTTTAAAATATATTATAAAATTCTTCAGATGTACAGAAACGTATCTAAATAACCAAAAGATATACATGTGCTCACCAGAAAGCTTAAGAAATAAAACAGCACCAATACAGGTGTACCCTCTCTGACTGCAGCTCCCTCCCACCTCCTCAGAGATAACTGCTATCCTGGTGTTTATCACTTTCTTGATTTCTCTATATTTTTACTGCATATGTACAGATGGATCCCAAAGCAAGACATAGTAGTAGTCTGCTTTTAAAAAACTATGTAAATGCTGTCATACTGCATGCATTCTTTTGAAACTTGATTTTGTTTTTTTATTCTCAGTATTATCTTTGTAAGCCTCTAGCCCTCACTTTCATTTTGTGAACACGTGTAGCTCCTATTTATTGATCTTTTAATGCTACAGAGTATTGCGTTTAATGGACAGACCACAATTGACTTATATACATTCTCCAGTGACTGTTAAGCTTTTCACTCTTACAAACAATGTTGCTCTGAATATTCTTGTACATGTATACCTGAACAAAACGGAGGGCCATTCCCTACAGCATGTATAACTAGAAGTAGAATTGCATCTTCAACTTTTCTAGGAATGGCCAAATAGTACTATCAAGTGAAAGTACCAATTTACACTTCAGTATCCAGTGTGTTCTTGTAATTCTATTTTATAAATTTTGAGATTGTCTCATTAGGTCCATGAGGACATTTTATCATTTTGAAGTGACCTTTATCTGTAATAATCCTTTTTCACTTTAATACTTCTTATGTATTCATAATGCAGCTATAAAACCTTTATAAAATTAGTATTTTCCTGGCATATCCATCTTTTTTACTTTTCAAACGGTCTGTATCTTTATGTATTAGGCATCTGCCTTGTAAAGAGCATACTCTCAATTTTTTTAAATTCAAAGTTAATGTCACTTTTTTTAAATCTGACAAGTTTTGCCTCTCTACATTTATTGTGATTTACTGATATATCTGAATGTATTTCTAACATTTTATTTTGTGCATTGCTTTTATCCTGCTTTCATTCTGGCCCTACTCCCTGCTGAGAATTTGCATTTCCACCCCATATATACTGAATCAGAATCTACATTTTAACAAGACCCCCAGGCAATTCTTATGTACACATAAGAATATTCATAAGATACATAAGAATCACCAGGGGATACATAGGAATCGCCTGGGAATCTTGTTAAAATGTAGATTGTCATTCAGTATACTGGATGGAAATCCAAATTCTCAGCAGGGTGTCAAACCGGAATGAACTGGTTCTAAGCCCTGTTTCTAAGTTTTTCACACTACATTTTCTTTCCTATTTTGGATTGATCATTTTTTCCCTGTACTATTTTAGAAGTTATGCACTCTACTTCTATTGTTTTAGTGGTTATCCTTATACACTTTTACCATGTACATTTTTAAAAATTCTGAAGTTAATCTATGTTTTCCTTCCTACTGAATAACACACACACATTATACAATGCTCCCGTTTCACATGTTGTTGTGTTAGTAGTATTTTAGTTCTCTCTCGATTTTTAATGTCCAATGTGGGATCATTATTATCATTTTATATTATCAGTGTGGGTTTAGCTTTATGAGCATTTTTTTTTACTTTTTATTCCTTACTCATCTCTATGAGTCAGAATCGACTCAACAGCAGTGGGTTTGGTTTTCGGGTTATTCCTACTTTTCAGATCTTCCTTCTGATGATTTGTTGGTGGTAAACTCTTTATTTGACTGAAAATAACTTTGTTTCTCATTTGTTATTGAATAAAAATGGACAAATCCAAACAGATGTACTGTAGACTCATTTTTTAATTCGTGTTTCTTAACCTCTTCCCCATTTCCATCTCTATGTTACACTCTATGCAATTTCGTTAGAACCAGTGGTCAATTCTCTTTTTAGCTGTGAATAGAGTGTTATTTAATAGGACCATTTGAGTTTTCAATTTGAGAAGTTTTATTGCACTTTTCTACTTCTGCTTAGTTTTTTTGTTACAATCATTATTCATGTTGTGTAAGCCTTTTAAAAAACATTCTAGGCATTTATATAACTTTCTTTATCTGATAAACCATTATCTTATATTTTTTGGAAGTCTAGTTCTACAATTTGTGGTTTCTCCTGTCTCCTACTCATTGTTCTTGTTTCCTTGAGTGTTTTTGGAATTTGGAATTGTGAGCTCATGTTTGGTGGTCTTTATCTGTGAAAATCCTATGACCCCCAAGGCTGAGGGTAAGTCCCTCTGGACAGGATTTGTGTTTGCTTCTGCCAGGCACTCTGGGATGCTATCAATCAAAGATCATTTCTTGCCTTAAGGTTTTCTACTCAGGTAACTATTTTAAGTCTGAACTCCAAACACACTGGACAGAAGGATTGTGGTTACAAACTCTAAGGAGAACTCTTTATCCAGCCAACAACTACTCCAAGTTAAACATCCCAAGTATCTCCCACTGCCAAAGGTAGATTTTTTTTCTAGTCTCTGATTTCATTTTGACAATAGGCCTTCTAGGGTCCCAGCATTATGATGGCACATGATTCCATCTCATACTCTAACCTGAGCCCAAAACTTGTCTCCTTTTCTCTGCCAATGTTAAAAACCGAATCTTGAGTTTACTGAAACTGGTAAACCCCTTGCAAGGTGCCATAGCCTCACTCTGGTTTTGAGATCCATTTTTATTTGCTAGACCCTGGGACTATTGTTACTTTTCAACAAGTTCAGATACTTTCTGTTTGTTTTCCTTTATCCAACATTGAAAAGCGTTTCCTCAGAGCCTTTTTTCCAGGATATGAAATCGCCAATGTTGCCAGAAATAGTCACTCTATATGTATAATTTTAAAGATGTAAAAAATATATTTTAAATGAAGAGTCATCAGAAAAAAATTATTACTTTTTCTTCAGTCCAGCAAACATGAAATGTCTTTAGTGTTTTTTTTCCCTCTATTCTGAATCAACACAATTCTTTTCACATATAGCATTATTTTTATCACCTATTTTTTCTTCAGATAATCCATAGTTTTACAAAAACTTGAAAAGAAAAATGTAGTTCTAAGTATTTGGATCAGAAATTTCTTGGACTTGCTGTGATTGCTTATTAAGGCTTTTATTATATCCAAATGTTTTACTTAAGCATATTTTAAAAACATCTAAAATATATTAATATATTTGAATAAAAAAGAAAGGAAGGCCTTTCTATACTTGATTTGTAAGAACAGATGTTGTGAAAAACTGAGATGCACACTCCTGGGGTAGCTACCAATGACAGGTGAGGGCTGGCAGAGCACAACCTAAGACAGGACCAGCTACCTAGATGCCATCCTAAGAGAGTAAGAGGAAGCTTCATGGAAGAAAAGGCAGTGAACATCAACGTCTGAGCACCACTGACTTAGAACATCCGTTTCACCTTTCCCCGAACTTCCTCTTAGGAGATACTGCATAGGTAAATAACCTCTATATTGTCCCTAGGGATACTTAGAGAGTGGTTTCCAGTCCATATATTAAGATTCTGGCTGGGGAGGAGGACTTTGTAGTTATCACAAGAGGTTAGAAAACCCAAATATGTTTAAGCATTAAGCACCGGTTTAGACTGAATACAAAGGTCTTATACACAGACACACACACACACACAATCACTCGATACATATTGATATTTTTCAAATGTGTATACATACTATCGTGATTAATTCAATATACTTCATTTACAAATGTTACTGATTTTACCTTTACTTATTTATTTTCTCCTTCAACAGACACTGAAAGCACAACAACCATTATGGGTTTCTATGTGTGTACTGGCACGAAGGTTGTGGGGGTTAGGTAGTGGGGAGAAATTTATAATG